GAAAAAGTTAAGATTTCCACAGCCTTTGGAAACCTTTGAAAATGTCAATGTTGGCCCATACCGATGAGATCCAAGGCTAATAGTAATTAAGCGAAGGACAAGATGTTTTTATTATCCAAAGGCAATCACCAATTGGTCCCGATTAGTTAAATACGGAAATATCGATACAGGTTAATATTAGTACAGTGTTTTTCACTTGAGTTAGACATTTTTTCACTTGACTTCGACAACGGTGCATGGTGATGGTGATATAGCGGATCGACGCAGAAACTAGGAGTTCCATACTTAAGTGCATAACTGTTCTGCCTCCGCAACTGCAATCAACATGCTTTAAGAGAGGAAAACCAATATGAACCTTCCCTAATACACAATATATTGAAATGATAATTTGATGTCGTAGTGAAAAACTAGGCTTTCATGTCACCCATTACTGTTTTCCTAATTTTTCAATAAAACAGAGGAAGTTTTGGGCATCTTTCCTGGGTTCTGAAGTATCATTCCCCACACAGAACTCACATAGGCTAGATTAGGCCTATCTAACTTGGATCTGGGATTGTCCATCGAAGTCCGATCCAGTGTTTCTACATCGTTGAGCCGATGGGAAATTGAAAACTTTGAGCCTTTTTATTTAAATAGACTGCAAGGCAGGTCTCCCGTTGACAACATGGCTATCCATGCGGTTCATCGTTTCCAGTACATAGTTTGATTCATACGAAAAAGTCTAAATATTCAAAGGAAAGAAAGATGTTGCTAGTCACCAGGGGCACCAGCGCCCTCGCCTCCTCTCTGAATACCCCTCGCATCGGTGTCTTAGTCAAGTGAAAATTTGTCTAACTGAAGTGAAAAACACTGTAAACCAATAACACTCTACTCAGAGCAGAGTGGAAAACTACAATCCAAGGCGTAACTCCAGAGTTAGTGGGCAGACAAACGATGATCCATAAAAAAGGGACTTCACTTAAGCTCATATTGGGACACGCACACAATGGTGCATATAGAAAGAAAAAATATGTGATTTAAGAATGAGACTCTGGTTAGCTGCTGGGATAGCATTAAATGACTAACTGCAAGTAAATACAAGTATGCATCCAAAATAGTACTCACAGCAGAATTCAGTGTGTTGCACATTTTGGACGCACAGACGGATTCGATTTAATTTTCGATTTCGTCCGTTTTGGATACAATTGCAGGAATGAAGAATATCGAAGTGCTGGATGGAAAGATGAAGAATATTAAGGAGGACTTGAATCAGGTACTTATTTTCCTGAAGGAGGAAGGAAAGGGAAAGCACATTCTGCTTGACGAAGTTCCTCTCACATTGGGAATGAAAAGTCCACTAGATGAAGAGAGTCTCTCTAAACACTGGTCCAAAATATCCAGACTCGAGAAACATGTATGTAGTCTGACCATCTCAATCCGCCCAAACGATGTCAGTTATGAGAAAGATATAAATCTGCAAAATATCAGAATCACAAATGCCAGTATAAATATATTGAACGTTGTGAAGAGAAACACGCGCAATGTGAGTGACTTATTCTTGGCCCTTAGCGACTACTCACGCAGGATTTTTGTTTGTCATGAACCCACTCTTCGGGATATTGAATTTTGTCACCCTCAAGAAGATTTGCTTCTTGCATTGTGCACCATACCACCATGTTCCTCATTTCATGACCAATGTAAGAACAAACTCACTTGTGAGATCATTAGATTCTCTATAGCCCTCGAGGAAAATCTGGTCAAGCATTATAATATTCATTCCACTACTTCAGACCAGCCCCTTTACGTGGTGGTTAACAATCTCGAACGAAGAAAGCTCCTGGTGAATACCCTGAAGCACTTATATGATACGAAGGTGTGTATTCTTGACTCAGATGGAATATTCTGCGGTGACGCGTCTTGTTCCATTGTCGTTTTGACTGGTGATGAAATTCTTGGGTGCCATATGAACAACACCATCCTCATTCTAGACCCACCAGAGTGCAAATGGAGGAATTATGTCCGTATGATTACGTCCATCTTCGTGTTACAATAATATCACAATTTATATTGAACTCGAAAGCCTAGAAATAGGGAAATATTACCAGATGAAAGCTATTCTGCCCGAAACGTTAGCGAAAACTATGGCGGTAAAGAATTTCACAAATATCGAGAAAGGGATGCGGGAAAAGATGACGAGGGCTTGGAGGATGGAGGAGAAGCCGATGGCTCGTCTGGATGAAAAAGAATGGCCTCTCATGCCTCACCAATTTCAAAAGTATTTCAATCGAACTGAAAAAGAGGATGTTTGCATATCCCAGGAAACGCAATTGCGTGTCATTTTCGGACCCCCCTCTTCAGGCAAAAGCATGATGTTGTTTGAAAGTCTCAGAAATATTGCTGATCGTGCAATAGAAGGCAATAAACAAGAAGTAATACTCTTGCTTCTTATGGGGACTTCACTGATGCAGAAAGTCTGGTTGAAGCATGTTGACTATATTAAGATATTGGTCATTCATGGTACAAAAGCATTGCTCCCCCAAGAAATAATCAAACACAATCTCATGGAAGGAAATTTGCGCTGGAAACAGTCTTCGGTCATTCATGTTCATGTGGATGACTATATCATCCAGGCCGACAACACAGAGGAAGAGATTAAAAATTGGAAACGGGCCCTGGCGGATATAAATCAGGATCATAAACCAAATCTGAAATTGACGGTTGCATTCCAATCGCACTCCAAGGGAGGTCGAGGCATATCACTGAACGAACTGATATCATATTTTCAGAATGAAGATGGAGTGAAGGTGATCAAAGTCCCCATTCTACTCCCTTCACGCCATACAAGTCCACGACTTCTCAATCACGTCTCCAGAAATGAGACGTGCAACCCTTTGCAACTGGAGGCTAAATCCCTCCCAACAGCTTCACGCCCAGGCGCCTTGATTTTTGGCACCAAACCCAAACTCATCAACATTAAATACCACTGCTCAGGCCACCATGCTAGGAATAGATGCAAAGGTCAGGCATATTGTATGCCTTATATAGGAGCATTTTTCTGTTTCAGCTCCTTCATGGGAATGAAAAAAGAATTGGTCAAGGAACCTATTCATGTATTGGTATCGGATGCGAAGTTGGTGTCCTTTCTGAAAACGATTAGTAGAAAACATTCAGAAGCGTTGACATTTGTTCATCCTAAGGATTTCCGAGGTTGTGAATCTCCTGTTTCCATCAGCGTGAACGTGCAAGATTCGTGGCTCCTAGAAAGCCTGTCCAGAGCAAGAACGGGTCTCTTCGTCATTGATTGCTTACCAGAACATCAACAGGTTTGGCATGCAATGCATGCTGAAGGCCACGTAGAGATCTTGGAAGTGCCTTCAGAAAATGATATGGACTCAGAGACTCTCGCTCGTCTGAATACCTTGGGAGGCTTCCTTCATAAAGGACGGGACCTCAGGAAATCCTTGCCTATCTCCTTTGATTCTGCCAACGTGGTAAGTTCTTTCCCTATGTAACCCGTCCTGGTCTTTCAACCCTTAAATTGTTCCCACTATTTCTTGGCTCAGAGAATCTCCCGTAAAAATGTTTCATGTTGCTTGCGTAAGTAGGCTAACCACATGCAGGCTCTCTGGCGGTTAAGTTTTTAGGTGCAACTAGACAAGGACTGCTGAACAAGCACTTAAATTGCGCTTCTTAAAGGGTTGGCTGCAAGGATTCTTTTTCTCAGCATAAGTTCAGCTGGAACGTAGGGTAAACAAGGGAATAGTGGATCACCCGATAGTAGTGGACCACTCCTAAGCCTTATTCCTATACGATACAGAAAAAGCTTCAGTTGCAATCTCCCCTCATGTTAGCATTAAGAAGTAATCTTGCCCTCAAGGGCTAACAGTAAACCAGCAACATCTAGGATTCTTTGTGGTTATTAAATTGCCTCTAAGTTTTTGCACAGGTTTTCCCTCAGAAATCTTAGAGCAAATATAGTAACCACATATAATTCTAGATGTTGCTGATTTTCTGTCAGCCCTCGAGGGCAAGTTTACTTCTTAATGCTAATGAGGGAATATTGCAACTAAAGCTTTTTCTGCATTTTATAAAAATAAAACCTTATGTGTGGTCCACTATTATCGGGTGGTCCACCATTCCCCTGTGCTAATTTGTGGCTTTCACTCATCTCCTGATATGAAATAGACAGATGCTTGTACTGAAAAGGCGTAAGTTCTGGGACATACTTTTGTATGCAACTTTCGTGCCCCTTCATCTAATTAAATTCCTTAGGTTTCCATGGAAACACATATTTCAGCAATGATGTCGTGGCTCTTGAAAGAGTTACTTGTGGGAATATGAATTTGTCAGTTGCACTCAGTGTCGACTGTAGAAATGCTTGCTAAATGGAAACTTAATAAAATATTGCGGCGGAAATTCGCTTTCGAACAAGTGTGTTGAATTCCTCACTACTAGAGGAAACGAAATTTTAAGATATTATTATTTTCTGTCCCCTCATATGAAGCAATTGTTCTAAGTGGCACCATAACATGTGTCAAGGAGCTATAGGAAGTATGATATGCATGTTCCCAAGTCTCATATCATTTCCTCAGTGTTTCTATTATTTTTGCGGAAGTTTTAAGATATACAAAAGTGAATAATACATATTGCACATACATATTTTGCATCATGAGCCACATGAATGGTTAAGAAAAATTCAGCTCTTTGCCTAGATTTCGCAAAACATATCTAAAATAACAATTAAATAGGGAAATAGCTATGTAAAGAAATTCAGGACTTTTCAGGACACAAATACTTCTTGGAGCACAAAACCGATATTCGGAAACAGTTAATACCATTAACCTTTTGGGAATTGAGCTTATTTAAACCCTTAGTGAGTATGGACGTACCTGTTCGTTCATGGTCCTCAAAATGATAAAAACGAAGCATTATCAAATAATTAAAGCATACTCTCTTTTTGAGTTTGGGATATATAGGCTGATTCATAAATCTGATTATTCGTGATACTATACTTTTCAATATTACTGACCCAGAACATAAAGCAGGATGTAACTCACAAGAAGAAGGAGCTGGTCCGCCCTTTGTATTTTAGATTTCTCCAAGCTGTCAAAAATACCCTTAAATTGGTACATCCTTTCTTCTTCGGATTTCTTCAAACTCTCAACCAAGCTCCTCAATTGGTCCATCTCTCCTCCGGATTTCTTTATACTTTCAACGGGGCTCTTGAAGTGCGGCAAACTTATTTCTCTTTCCAGTGCAAGCAGCACTTCATTGTGATATTTAGTCACATCTGCGTAAGATAACATGGGAAGCATGATGCTTGTTGTGATGTTTGCTACCAGACTTCTGTCCAACATTGCTCCATTTACNTTAATGGGTTGAATCAAGTAGTTCTTGCAAAAGGTTTGTGGTGTTCGCGATCCAGTTTGGACAAAGACTCATTGCAGCAAAGTATCCGCGCAGGACTATTCTATCACGGATATCTCTTCAAGAAAATTTTGAAAGATTAAACTAATATTAAATCGAGGATCTCACCGGTGTCGACGTAGTATGCCGTTAGGTCTTCCTTGGTAGAACGGAGGAGATCCTCTGCAATTTGTCGATGACCAGTTTCGAGGAGGCTTCTGCAAATGAGAGGTAGATTTCTTCCGTCCTTCCTCCCCAGGACGTTTGCCAGATCCGAGTTTCCATCCTTTGTATTTGTTTCTGTTAAGAATTCTTACTTCGTCACTGTTGAGAATGGCATTGCCCATCAGCGTCTTTATGACTTCTTCTGGATTTATAATTTTGATGAAGCTGAACCATATTCTGCCAATTCTTGCCTTCAAATCTATGAAGATCAAATAATGAGATGATGTACAGAATCCTCTATTTGATGCGCATCATTTTGTACATATTTGTCACTATTTCCGGACGCCCTACATCCAACATGCGTTTTTTACTTGTGGAAAAGACAATTGTATTTATAAAAAAAAATAGGATGCCAAACAGCATGTTTACGTTAATTTTACGTAAACTTAATATAATTTTTTTGTCCATTTTATATCATTTTTATGCAAACCATTAAGATAATGCCAACATGTTTGCATAAATGTCACCTCTGTGATACGTAAACGGTGATATAAAATTAACGTCAATTTTACGTAAAATTGACATGCCCGTTTGCATTCCTAACAGTATTTTTACGTTGATTTTACATAAGATTTATGTTAATTTCCCTCTAGCATTCATGAGCCTTTAACGAGCCAATCAGCATCTTTGAAATAAATTGATATACTGTATCTCCCATTCCCTTCCATCCTTTAGAACTCAAGAGTGCTTGAATGAGTACACTTATCCTCATCAGCACTCAAGAGTCCCTAAACGACCTACCACTTCCTTCTCCTGTACTGGAACTTCGGGAGGAGAAGTAGATGTTCAAGGAGCTCTCTCCCATTATAGGATAGAGACGACTTAGTACTTGAAGAGCTGGGATTCTACTCTTCCCTAATTCCGTGCATTACTATAATAAAAACCTTAACTTCAGCATTTAATGATTCCCTGAGTCATATATTATGAAAAAATATATATTAATTTCATGATTTCCATATATATATTCATGGATTGCATAATAAAAAGTGAAAGGATGGTAAGAAAATCTAATATTCTATCAGGAAACCCAGTACGTAATAGTATTTGTCGGACGCAGAGAACAAGGGTTCCATCTAGTGAGGAATCTTGGTACTGCAACTGCGGGATGGTCAGCTAAAGTTTCATATGGATGGTGTGGCGTTAATTTTGCATAAACTTGATATCATGTACTTAACGTCAAATGGAGTGACGTCTAGTTGATATAAAATACACGTAGACTTTGGTGACGTAAATATAGGAACGTAAATTTTACTTAAATGTGATGCCATTTTCATGGCAATCGCAATAAATGTACATTGTTTGCAAAGAATTGATATCTTGTTTGCGTAAACATGCTGCTTGGAATTATTTGTGTGAAAGGTGTACATGAGGAATATTCCATACTTTCCGTTGCGTAAGTGCTCCATGGCCACAAAAAGCTCCCTATGATTAGCAGCAGACTTTTTAACTCCCATAGAGCCATCTGTCATTGTAGGATATCCAAATGGAATTCCCTTAATCCACACCTAATGCTCATCATTATGATGACGTCCTTCAAGGCTTCCCTTATTAATCATCTTACAACTCAGGCCACTAACATTCTGTGACGCCCCGTCGCTCTCACTCCCCTAAGTCCCTTTTATGAATGTCCATCGGATCGTCTACCGTCATCCGCCTACCGATAATCGTTGTCTTGGCTGTTCTTTTCGGTCTGGAGAGTGATATTTTATCATTCTCTGATTATCTCCTGTGACAACCAGCACTCACAGCATTGTTCTCCTTGTCTAATTATACTGCCTTCTACTTTTTCTTTAAAGGGCAGGGTTTTTCATCTGTTTTGTTTCAAAGGTGACTGCGGAGGTAAAATATGTCCCACGGAGTCATAAATGACTTGCATCCCACAAAGCATAGATCCGGCGAGACTGGTTCTGGAGACATACTTACTGTACCCAAGAAAGTGGGGTGTACAAATCTAAGCTTTTCCTGGCCATAAGCTAGGTGGTAGACTTAGATTAATTTTGGAACACAGTGTACGTGTGTCAATATTTGGAAACACTTTCTTTAAATAGTAAATGCTGCAATCTTCGAAGTCTTTCCTTCACGTCGAAGGCTATTTTGACGTTAGCCAAAAATACCCCCTATGATCTCCAGGCCTTCTGCAATTATATCGTATCTAAAGGACTTCTTGGCTTTCTGATCGGCATAGTCATGAGCAAGGTTCTCCAAGAGAAGACTTCCTCATATGAAAAACGGACTTTTGCCATAGCAGGAAGGGTCATACATTGTCATATTTAGAAATGCCAGTCTGCCATATATGGTCCAACCCCCCCCCCCCCCCCCCATGGGCAGGAGCCCAATAGAAGGAGTTGTATGATCTCACCTGTTTGACTCTCAAGTTCCTCTGCTGTTGCCGTAAGAGAGAGATCCTGCAGGGCCACCAGTAAGTCGAGATACCACTTTCCGTACCTCACAGGCTTCTTGCACAAAGTGTCCAGGAGCTTCATTAGTTCGTGGTTTGGATCTGAGCATATATCTTTTATATCCTCTGAAGATAAGATTTCTTGAAGGTTCTGACAGACTTGTGGCACAGGAATTCCTGTCAGGAGGCATTGGCGACTTTTGATGAACCTGAAAATATGATCCATCAACTGATATTGAGGCATGGCCATGAGAAAAAGTATTTGCTCCTCTAATAGGGAATAGAAAGGGTTACAAGTAGCACTGAAACGTTCGTGTTTGCATAGAGAAGGATGCAGGAAGAACCTCAAATCGGTATCACGTTCCTTTCAGAAATCGTAAGCGCAATGTTTCCTGACGAGTATACAGTCTGTGTAACGCGAAAGTTCTTGTAATTGTAGTGAAAGAAGGAATCCCAATTTAAAGGACATGAAGTTAACGCCCCAGTGGAGATTATCTCGATAGAACAGGCCTGAGCCACGCATCGCGCATGTACCTAGTCCTGCCATAAATACTGTTACAAGGTTTTTTAGTAATAACTCTTTTCATATAAAGGGCTCGCTTGAGACTTTCAATATTTGAATGTCTTCTGTGATTGGCCATCAGCTCCAACTCTTCCCACAGTTTGTTGTCCAGTGGGTTCCCAGATGGCCAATCGGAGGCCTTGATGAACTCGGGGACATTGCTGGCTAGCCACTCTTCGTCCTAACCTTGTTGGCAGGTTCGGAGTCTTGCTGGAAGATCCAGTTGTCGCCATTGAACATTATTTAGCTGAGAGGCTTCACTGACTTCTCTAAAACTTATTCCTGGTACGCGTTGGCTGATGTCTTCGCTTCTTGCTTGCAAAATGCAGCTTGGTGACGCCCTCATAACTCAACCCCCACCAAACCATGACACAAGCAGTATGGTTACCTCTCTTCACCTTATGGATGACTTCTGCAGCTTCCCAAGAGTTGTGGGCATACACTTGGCCATTTGGCCAGCTGAATT